AAGGTATAACTATATATATATTTATTTATATATATATAGCTACATTTCCTCCTTAAGCGAGTAATTTCTTTCCTCTGCTTCACAACCCATATAAATTATTTCAAGAAAAAAAGTTACTATGGCAATGCCATTATGCATGTGAGTAGTGAATTTTATGCCTCTCCTTGAACAAAGCTGTATAATAAAAATACATGCTAGGAGTACACTGAAAGGAAAGATGATTGTTACCTCACAGCTCATTTATTTCCCACACAGTCAAGTTGCCAGACTTGTTCTTTTACAGGCTCTGAAACCAAACCTGCACCTAAATCTATCAGTGCTTTTTACTTTGGCAAAGAAAACTAAAATCATGAATGTAACTAAGTGTGTAACAAGCCAGCCCTGGCTTTGCAATCAAGTACACCTGAAGGAAGAAAAGATGAACTGAGCCAGACTGAAAGAATGTCTGTTCATTGTCCATTCACCAATTTCAGGAAAAAGACTTGTCAGTTGTACATTTCTCTCAGCAGTTCAAGGTTCCATCAGCCCCTATCTGACCATGACTTGGTGGCTACTGCCATGGAAAACAGGAGATGAATGCTGCATGCTCAGAGATAAAAAGAAACCTGAAGTTCTCCAGTCTAGCTGAGGACAACACTGCCAGACATGCCAAGGTGCTGACTAGGGATAGGGGTTAAAGGAGAAAGTGGGAAGTTGGCTAAGTCAAAACATCTCAGAAAAGTAAAAGCAGAACAAAACAAGACAAAAGATCTTACGGGACAGAAAGGATAATATTAAAAAGAACCAGTACCTTATTCTGCAAGGTGAAATACAAATATAAACATGACAAATGGCACTATCGGTGAAATACAAATATAAATATGACAAATGGCATTATCATCATAACCAAAAGCAACAAAGACTTTCTGAAGGCAAAAAAAAAAAAAAAAAAATTTGAAGGGGAAAAAAAAAAAAAAAAAAAAAAAAAAAAAAAAAAAAAAAAAAAGATGTATCAAGTGGTTTAACAGAAGATCTGAACAAAGTTTAACTGGACATGCAGGAAGATAAGCTAATGCCATGCTGATAAACCCACTTGACTAGAAACATCTTTATGACTCCACCGCCTTTTTGGAGTAACCGCTCTAAGAACGAGCACATGCACTCAGGTTTGGAGTGTCAGGTTTACACTGTGGATCAAGGGCAACGCTTGAAGATGAGAGCCCATTCCCAGCAAGGACTCTTCTATCAGTTAAACAAAGAGCTTTCTTCCACTGAGTTTCAGGCAGGGTCAACACCAACCGGAGAGAAAAGGGGAATGTGCAAAGCCACTAATACTGAGTAAAAAAGCAGTTCCTTTTCTCTCTGTAAAACACTACAGAATGGCAAAGAAGAGTAGCTCCATGGATATTCATAACCCACATAAGCTCTCAGTTTGACTACAGAAGCCACCTCTAACAGCTCCCCATGAACCTACGAACTGTGAAAGACAATTCCTGCATCACTGGAGTCAGTTTTCCAAAATACATCCATACCTCTTTGGGAGTTTTATGAGCTGCACAAAGAAAAATCCACTGTTCAGTTGCAGTCATCTGAGTGCATGTGTCAGGGTGACATTCACTCTGTTAAAACAATTGTTCAGTTAAGAATAAAACCAGCAGCAAAAAGGAGCTCATCTTTTCAAATCACTTCCTTGCCCTGTCCACCCTCCAAAAGGGTTATTTGCCATAAGCCCTTAAAATCTTACAAAACCTCCAACCACTGCTTAGCCCTGTGTGTATCTGTTAAGAAGAAAGCTCTACAATCTACACAAAACAAAAAAGTCTCCTCCCTGACAAAATGTCTCAAGGAAATAATTACCTGAAGCTTGACAGCTAGTCCATTGAGCTCAAGGCAGAATTGTCTAAAAGAAATTGAACACAGCAGCATCAAAATCAGCTATTTGTTTCCTCACTGCAAGTATCTCCTAGAAAACAGCTTAGATATTCTGATCTTCACACCAGCAGATGTGTTTTTTTTTACTCAGCTAAACAATTATATTATAATTCTTCACTGACAGCAAAGGCTGAGTTTAGCATATCATTTAGTGGAAGTATTGTACTGCAACTTAAAAAAAAAAATAACAGACGTGGACAAAAAGGTTTATTTCCTTACAAGCAGAAAAATAACTGCAAGACAATCCTGCTGTTCTTGCCTATTTGCCTGCTAGTTTCAGGAAAAGCACTGGGAGCATCTGGAAATCACATTACCCATTACTGGAGATGAAGAACTGACAGTACTATGAGAAAGCGCTATGGAAATTGATGACTATATCTTCCTATTCAAGAAGTGAGGTACAAATATTTTCTTTAAAAAAACACTAAGATCAGAGCACATTATAAATCTTTAAAAGTAATAGGGAATTCAGAAAATAATACCAATGTTTAACAGTGGAAAAATCAAATTTCATTTAAGTTACTTTTGATGTGTCACATTCAAACAGATTCACTACCAGCATCAATCAACAAAACTTAGAACCAAGACAGAACGTTGACAAAAGATGGATTTTACCTTAAATGTTCATACTTCCATACACCTTCATCCTGGCCTTCGGGAGGTTCAAGGATCTTATCAATGTTGGAACAGTCTGCCCTTATGTTTTGTTGAATATACTGGTAGGGGAGTAGAAATATAACTAGATCTTGTAATTACAGTAAGAAAGTATATTTAAAACATTACATCTTGGATGGACTTAATTTTTACTTAAATAATTGACAGACTAAAAAGTTCAAAAGCTCAAAAGTAGATGGGCTGGGTAAGGAAACTGGTATTAAAAATGCCAGGTCTGAAAAATGCCTTTCTTCAATCAAAAAAGGTATATGGATGGCAAAACCCCCACCATTTTCCTAAATCTGATTTTTTTTAAACCAGACATGGGAATTTAAGTTACTTCTGCAAACAAAATGAACCATTAATTTGTTAATATACATAGGTGCTTAGGAAATTCACTGCTGTGCAGCAACACCCTAAGCAGATAAATATCAAGCCCTGTTCAATTTTATATACCAGAACACAAAACCTGGGAAACTGCACTCATTAACAACATTTCATGCAAGTAGGAATACCTGCTGGACAGCTAATGTACTATCCATTTCTTCAAAGGACTCATCAGGCCAGTTGTAGAAATCCTGTTTTAAAAAAGAAAGTTTAAAGCAATGTAACAAAACCACAGGGGAAGGAAGAAAGGCACACAGCCTACAATAAGCCTGAGCATGCAGGAAAATAGATGGAGTTGATACAATTCCAGGAAGCTGCCTCTGAACAGAAGCAGCACACAGTCCTGGCAGGAAGAGGGAGGGGATTTACACTCCCAGCACTGCAGCAGCAGCACACCTTGGAATGGAAAGCTGTGCATGACTCGGCAGGTGAACACCCCCGCTGCAACACCCAGAGCCTGCATTTGTTCATTAAATACGGCACACAGCACCCACTGCAGGTGTGACAGCAGGCAGCAGTGGGGAAGAACAGGTCTGCAGAGAGCAGCAGCATGCACTGGTTATGAAACTAAAACTCCCAGTGGTGACACAGCAAGAAAAACATCTCTGAATTGAGCTCACGCAACACTGTGCTGGCCTAACCTGGTACCACATCCCCGCCTTACCCTTGGTAGGGTCAGTATGCCTTAATTAATTTACCTGGATGCTTATCAGCCTTGTCAATAATAAAGCCTTGCAGGAGTTTCACCTCAGATCCAGCTGCACCTGTATTCTGCAGCAGTCCACATGTGCTGCACCTACGATCATCCCAACCATAGGCATTTCCTTACTGGGCATTTTTCACATCTAAAATTTGGTGCTATTCCCTCATATCATGCAGAGATGCTGCATGTCAGCTTGCTGTAGTCATCCCAGGAGGTGCAATGACTCAAGGAAAATGTCCCAACAGCAAAGCTTAGCAATCTGTTCCTGAGAGAGCAAGTCAGCTCTGGGAAAAATACCTCAAGTGCCTATCCACTGTTGAAATATCATCACCTCATTGTATCTGCAACCTGAACAGCTGTACCAGTGTCATCCAAAATAAAACATTAAATTCAGCCACACACAAAGAAAAATCATGTCTATGGAGAGAAAGTATCACCACCATACACAAAACACTTCAATCTGCATGGATTTCATACTATTTGACCAAACCTAGGTCTATGTCCAGCTGTTTTTCAGAATACCCCAAATTTATCAAAGGCACACATCTTCTCACACAGAAGGAGACATTCTGTCTCCTTCAGATGAAACATGCGTAGAATGACCTGATTTACAGGATTGTGTAATAATTCTACCTCTATGCTATGACAAAGAACAGAAGACACGTGTCATACACGGCTCCTTTCCCACCATGAGTTCTCCTTCCAAAAGCAGAGGGGAAAGTCTCACATAAAAGTCTGACAGAACGCCTCTCTGAAATAATCTAAAAAACGCAGTTTCCGTGTTTGAATGTGCCTGTTCCAGCTGACCGTGACACCACAGAAACGAATTCAATTTTGATTAAGAGAAGCGATGTGACACCAGAACTTCCCTGCGCGCAGTTACGTAAGGGAAGGATGACTTCCCTCCGGGATGGGCAGGCAGGTAGGGTCGCTGTGCCGGAGCCGAGCTCCCGCGGAGCCCGGCGCAGGGTCATGAGCCCACTCCCGGAGCGTGCTCCGGCTGTTTTCGCAGCAGCAACAACAGCCCAGCCTGACAGTGCCGGGAGCCGCCCTGCCTGCACCAGCCTGCGCCGCGGGCGCAGCGCCCGGCCCGCGCTGCCGCCGGCTGTCACAGCTGTCGGGGCCCGGCCGGGGCCCCGCGCCACCTCCGCTCCCAGCCCGCAGCCTGGAAGCCACGGCGGCTTTTCCGCCGGGCCCGCGGGGAAGGAGCCGCCGCCGTGCCCGGTCCGCTCCCCCGCAGCCACCAGGTCTCGCCCGCTGCCCCGCGAACAAAGCGATCCCCGCAGCGGGGCCGCCGCCGCCGCCCCAGCCCCGGTAGGCCCGGCGCGGCCCGCGAGAGAAGGCGGGGCGCGGGGCTGCCGTGAGGGAGGGCGGCGGTGCGGCCGCCCCGGTCCCGGCCCTTTTCCCTTCCCGCCCGGCTCCGGGCAGCGCCGAGGCTGCTGCTCTCCTCCGCGCGGCGCTGGAGGCCAGGAACGCTTCCCTGTGAGCGCGGTGCCCTGCAGGTTCCTCTGTCAGAGCCGAGCTTTGTATTCCTGAGAGGGAGCACTGACGCCCCCCGCCCCACACACACACACACACGCAGAGCCGGGAGTGCGGAGGTTCGGGGCGGCCGCTCGGTGCTGCGGGGCCGGTGTCGCAGCGAGTGACCCGGCTTGTGAGGCGAAGCCTCGCACGGAGATTGACGGCCTGAGTGGTTATTGAGGAAATCCATGGCATTTCTTTCTGTTTCATCAGCATCCCCCGCCAGCCCCGGCTGTGCGTGCACTCACGCAAGGTCAGTCCTCGCTTGTCTGTACAACCCAGTCCCTGGTGCTCTGTGCAATACAAACTACAAGTGTGTGGATTTAAAAATTATTCAGAGTTTAATGTTAAAGATTTAATTTAAAAATAAAGAGTAAAAGCCCACCCTAGCAAGGGTTGTTTGGGGCAAAATAAAGTAGATAGGAAGCCTCTCTAGGTCTCAAAGGCAGGATTGAGACACCTGTGAGCTTGGTGTGCAGAGGGCACAAACTGCTGTGCTAATGGCAAACGGAGTTAGCTCAGGTTTCAAGGGTTACTGAGTCGGGTGGTGACTCTATTTGCGAAGAAAACAAAAAAGACACTGTTACCTCATAGCTGGCTGATAAATACATCTCCCTTACAAGCGAGTAAACATTTTGGAGTGATTCATACTATTTCTGTAGGATAAGTGAGAAGAACATTATTTGAAAGCTGTTCTATTTCTCTCAAATACGTGGTAGATGAGTACAGAGTAAGGAATTGTTTCCCTCTGGGTGCAAGAGCGGTGAAGCAGCGAGGTACCATGGGCCACCTCCCTCACACAAGCAAGGAATAAATGGTTGCAGCTGTGGGGTGTTTTGTGGAAGGTGGAGAGGGCTGCTTGCTGCCTGGTGCTGTCCCTACACCCAGCGCATTTCAGGGTGAGTGCTGCTTGTAGTTTCCCCCTTCACTCAATTATCTTGCTATAAATAACACGTTAAAACCCCTTCCTTCTACCCCGCGAGAGTTTGTGAAACATTTCTAGATGTTAAACGCTGACAAATCTCCAATTAGGCTTTCCTGTCAGGCAGAGAAGCGCACTTTGAATCCCGGCGTGGCTCGGGCAAGGCCGTGAGCCCGGCCCTGCCGTGCTGCAGAGGCCGGGCAGGAGCCCAGAGCCCGCCGTGTGCGGGGGGCAGAAATGGGCCGGGGGCCAGCGCCTGCCCCCGCTCACCCGGTTCCTACTGCCGGCACAGGCGGCTGCTCTCACGTTACACTGTAACGCGGAGCTCGGCATTCCTGGCTTCAGGAGCTCGGTTTGCAGTAGTTACTTTTTTACTCCTGGCCAGCATTCCTGCCCCAGGGATGTCAGCTCTTCGGGTCGTGTGGCGAAACCCAGCTTGTGCAAGAAACCATCAAAAGGTTTAAAACGCTGTGAGAAATTGCTGTGTTGGAATGAGGAGTAGAAATGTCCTAGCATTTCTTTAGACCAGCTGTATTCCAACATTATTTTTTTCATGAGGTTGATATTATTATTAGCCAGTTGCAAAACACAAACTGTTCTAGCTGGAGTCCTTCAAAATTCAGCAGTTTGTTTGCATTATTTTTTATTGTTGGGTTTTGTTTTGGTTTTTTTCCTATCATCATATTCAAGGTTTAACCTTAAAGCACAGAAAAGTTGGGGACTTGACATTTCCATTTGTCCCTGACTTTTATTTCATGGCCATTTTTGCTTTTAACACGGAAACAAATCTGACTGTGAAGAAATACCTCTCAGAGAAAAATATGTCTCTGTTAGTTCAGTCTGAAGATGGTTCATGTGTCTGCAGAAAAAAAAAGGAAAGAAATCTGCCTCATTTATTAAGATCTTGAATTCTCTAGGGTATCTTGTGTTGCCCCCTGATAATTAATCCTGTATTCCTGGAAGATGCTTATTATTTTTATTTTATTAAATTTCAAGCTGGTTTTGAACAAAATCTGAACAAAGTAGTTTCAGTTTTGGGCTTTCAGCTGGTCCTAATCCTATGGCCTTCAATAATGAAAATTTGAATATGTGGCCAAAATTTTATCAACCATTCACGTGCTGTTAGGGCCCTGTCTGTCCTTTCTTCTCTACTGGCATATAAATGTCCCATCCTTGTCTTACTGTGGCAGGATAACATAACCAGGGTGAGAAAAGGTTTCTGAAAACACTACAGCTGCTGAGAATGGAAGCTATTCTGAAGTGCTATGAAAAGAAAGTCACTAAAGATGGAGTCCACCTCGTTTCCTTGTGATTCTGACAGACTGAAGACTGTATCCCCTCAAAAAAGCAGGTGGGGCAATATGGAGCATTTACACCAAAACTGAAGTTTTTAAACCACATAGAAGACAGTGGAAAGAAGCCTAAGTTCCTACCAGAAGAACACAGCAAAGGAACAGGGTTTGTGACTGATGGTCTGTCCTTGCCTGAAGAACCGGAGGGATACAGGATCTGGCACACAGTCATGGCCTGGGGGGCAGAACAGCAGATGGATCACCTTGGCTGTGTGGCAGTTGCCTTGTCCTTGCTTACAGCAAGAGCCTTGTGGTGCAAGGATGGAATGTTCCTGTCAATCCAGCAAATGTTCCAGGGTGTCCTCCATTTAATTAGGCCTAGGAACACTATTTTCCCCAACATCCATAAATTACTTATTCCCATGAAGTGTGACTTCTGTTTTTAATCACTTATGAAAACAGTACTAGATACAGCCATGCTAAGTTTAATAAATAGGCATTTTATATTTTAATAAATAGGCATTGTATCGAGCTGCTGAAAACCTGCTGGGCTGAAAGCATGGGCTGAAGGTGGAGCTGGGGGCAGCCAGGTTGTGTGGTGAGGGATCAGCGTGATCCTGTGCAGTTCATGTCTTTTAGAGCCATTAGGGAAAGAAATGGTGAAATTTTAGGCCTAAACATTTCTCTGTTAATTCCTACTGCATCTTGAGATGGGGTACAGTGTCTCTCAGCTGTTTGTAAGTATTTAAAATACCTTCTCCTCTTTGCTATGTGACTGCAGCAGATTGCCTGCCTTATCCTGGGAGATAAAGGCATGCTGGCTGCAGTGGAAGATAATGCTTCCCAGGGAGTTTGTGTTTCATTGCACAATCAATTGTCTTGCAAGGTCCTTGGGGTGTGATTATCTTAAGTTTCAGCTTGAAGGTGCAGTGCTGTAACTACTGAAGTAAAACTGCAACAGGGCAGATTTCAAGATGTAGGTCTTTTATACTAAAAAGTGTATTTTTATTCATTTAGCATCTTGCCTGTCTGTCCATAGTTCAGTGCAAATTTAACCCCCAGAGCAGTGTCTGGTTTGTCTTTAGCACCAGAGCAAGCAGAGGTAACCAGCCAAGAGCAAGCACCCCAGGGAAAGGGGAGCAAAAGACATTGCAGCCAAGCCTGGCAAACGCAGCTCCCGCTGGAATGGCTGGGTGATCAATGGCATCTAGGGAAAAGCATGGCTCCAGCTGACCCCTGTGCTGTGCAGCTGATGGGAGGGACTTTGCGCTGGCAGAATATACACTGTGTTTCAAACTGGCAGAGCTTGAGTCCCACACTGCAGCATCTGAATGGAGATCAGAAAAATATTTTGTTACAGTTCTTTACTGTTACCGCTGGAATAAGCATTATAATGTATCTAGCAGTGCCGAGTTCCGATCAGCATGACTAGAATGGGAAAGTGCAGCTCAATTCCAGCCAATGAAGTTTCAGCAGCAATAAGCCATGTACTGACTGACTTCACTAGGACTACCCCAAAAGCACTTTAAGGCACTATCTGTTCTTAGGCTGCACTGGATTCCTCTGTGCAGCCAGCTTTGAAAGCCTCCTCAGGAACAGTCAGATTTGGGTGCTCCTGCACGTACAACCCTGAATCCTTGTCAAGGCAAGAGAAGGTGGCCAGGAATATGCAAATTTAATTGCTTCAGCATTACCTAAGTCAATGTCTTGCTATTTAAGAATGGTGTGTTGAGGGTAAAGGAAATATCATTTGTCAAAACAGGTCTCTCCTGAGTTAAAGGAAAGCTCAAGAAATCTCTGGGTGTGAGTGTGGTAATCAGTAAAGAAACTTCATTTAGGATCAGCATCAGCCCCATTCTGCCTGATTAACTGCTGAGGGAGGTTTTTTATTTTCTATTGGCAAAGTTTAGTGAGTGATACGCAAGAATAACCATTAATTCTTAACTGCTCCATCTGGGAACTGGATGATTCTGTTACAGCACAGACATGACTAATACCAGGCTCCTTCCAGCTGCTGGGGGACAGGCTGTTTGTGTGCCTTAACCTTTCAGTGTTTCAGGGTCTTCAGACAGAATTTACAAGAACCCATGCTATCTCAGGAGTCCAGTGTGCAAGGGAGCTGGAGAAAAGTCCTCAGCAAGACTGCATCTGTCTGGTAACCATTTTAAGCTCATTTCATACAAACTTGGTGAAAATAACATTACTACCATTGAATGTTTCAGAGAGCTCATTACACAACTGAGACTCAGTTTCACTGAGCAACAGCAGAAACTGAGACAAAAGCAGAACGGTTTTTTAAGTTTATTGGAAAGACCTTTACAATCTCAGTACAGAGATAAGGATATAAAATGATGTTGTTTGGAATAATTAAGGCTGGTTGGTGGTCATCCAAATTTCACTGTTCAATGGAACTCAAGCAAGAGCAACTGATTTCTGACTGTACATATTTTTATTTGTGTTCCATCGTTACAGTGAGATCGCAAGTTATTTCAAAGACTCAATGCCTGTTTATTATAAAATAAAGGACATTATTTACATGATGAAAGAAAAATTTCAGCATTTTAGTGGAATGGATGACTGATACTGCAACAGGTTTAGTCCACATATTTCCCAAGAATGTCACCATCTCTAAACAAGTAGTAGTCCTGTAAAGAAAAGAAACGTTAGCTTCTGTCATGTAAATATTTTTCTTGTTTTGCAAATACTGTCTTGTTCTGAGTCAGCATTATTGCAGTCATTAAGTACAAAATCAAAAGCAAGCTAACCAAGAATCAACATGTAGAGCTAGTCTTGAAGAAGTTCCTTTTGTTCCTAAGATACTCCTTGGAGAGCTATCAAGTTACTACTTCTAGCAGTAGGAAAGCGCAAGAACTGTTAGAAAACAATTCTGCAGGCTTTCCCTGCCAAAAACAAGGATGCCCCCAGGAATTCCTAAGCCTTTTTGGACGCCCTCTAATATGTGCTTGACATATGGAAGCCCATTTTGCCCACCCAGCAAAGGTCAGGTCAGAGGTTCCTGTGGTTGCCGCCTTTCATGCAGGGGCAGAAGTAGCGGTAGCACGGCTGTCGGAAGGTGGCTGGATCCAGCTGCTCCCTTTCCTGAGTGGTGCTAACACCACAAAGTAACCGCAGCATTTCTCACTGGTGTTTCAGGAACCATTCTGATTTGCACTCACAAAGCTGGGAAACCTACCTTATCTTCCAGCACGATCTTAGTACCACCATATTCTGGGAGCAAAACCTTTTCACCAACTTTTACACTTACTGGCTGAATCTCACCATTCTGAAAAAAGGAAAAAAATCCTTACTTTTCTGTAATAGAATTCCTCCAAACTACCACAATCCATTCATGCATAGAAACATTCAGGAAATCACAACTTTGCATTTAGTTTTAACTGTAAAGACAAGCATGAGGTCTTCACTTGACACGCTGAATAGGACTTCACTTGAAGAACCATGAAAACCCCTTGTAAATCAAGGGACAAATATTTCCATATTCTATAACCAAGGATAATTTCTCCAAGTGCCAGTTAAAAAAACACCTTCCCATTTCTGTAACTTTGATCAACTGTTGCCACCAAACCACTTGTTTAGAAGACCCTGATGAAGTTTAATTAAATTTTTGTATTATGAATAAAACATGAACACATTAGTCAAATATTACCACCCTTTCACAACATAAACTGTTGAAAAGCAGATCCTGCCACAAACCAGCCTGAGATGTATATAGGGACTCATGGTAAAGAAAAGCCAAGGCAGTGTGCCCAGGTTGAAATTTAACCTGTTTTCCAGCGTTGCCACTGACTGAACACTGCTCTGGTGGGGAACCAGCCCTTCTGATGTGGAAGCCTGCAGGCACTGGCCTTTTTGTGAACTGTCTTCTTTTATCTCCATATACATATCCAATGTGCAAAATTAACAAGCAGTTATTCAACACTTACTTCCTTTGATTGCTGACCTTCTTTAGTCCAATAAGCCTAATCCTTATGGACAATGGTATTTTGCACAGCACAAGGCAGACAATAAATAGGTATTTCATATTTTGTGGAAATCCCACATTCTGGGGTTCCACCCTGCTCACAGGTCACAGACATTTGGGCATATAATAATTTTAATAAAGAAGTCTGCTGATCCCTCAAGGTTTTGGCTGAAATGTGATGAAACAGGGTATCACACACAACACTGTCTACGTATTTAAAATAAACCCCCACCACCAAACAAGCAAACCCCATAAAAAAGCAAACAGCGAACAAAAGAAACCCCACTCCATTTTATAAATTACAAAAGGAATGCTGGAATTCATTTCAGGACAACTTGAGATTTCTACCTGCTTTTTGAATCCCTCCCCACTTGCAATTTCAGCCACCACAGTCATCCATTTTTGTGAGCTATCACCACTTTTGCACTATAACCATCCCACTCTTAGGGCAACATTCAAGCTACCACCACTCTGGTTCTACCCACATGGAATGCTTCAGGGTAAATACCTTTCCTCTGCCTCCAGATCCAACTGCTACTACTGTTGCTTGTAGTACTTTCCCTTGGGATTTTTCTGGTATCATGATTCCTCCTTTGGTTACTGTCTCCGCTGCACATCTCTCAACCAGTACACGATCAAAGAGGGGAAGAAATTTCCTAAATGCTTTTCCTGCCTGTGGAAGTAATTGTACATTGTAACAAGAGAGCCATTACAACAAAAACTGCAATTAAAAAGAGTTTAAAAACCAACGCATAATGATTTCTCTTTTGAGAGAGATGATGAATAGTGTAAGACAACTGCAAAGCACTTAGTTAATAGCAGCAAATAACAGTTCTGATTGCATCAGAAACTCCTGAAGGCACAGGCAGATGCTGGGCAATCCTGACAATTCAGCTGTAGGAAGATGTACTCCAGCTGGGGAATAAATCACCCACAACAGAGCAGACTCCTCTGTCTGGAAAGGCCTCTAGGCTTTTAACACCAAGCCCTTAGTTGCTACAGCTTGGTGAACACATTAATTATATGAACTGCATCTATACTTGTGAATAGGTTTACATTAAAGAAGCACAAGTCTAGCCAGGTGCCCCACTGTCAGTCTTTCTTAGGTGCTTTCAAGCATCACCCTTTCACAAAAAAACAGGCGAGACTCTGCAGCCTGAGCCACAGTGCTATTACTTATACCAAATTCTACAAACAGATTCAGAAAAAAATTACAAGAAAGTTTAGGTCAAGGCCCTGAAAATGAGAAGGTAAGCAACCTTCTAGCTCAGCTGCTTTGGTATCTGCTTCTGCTTAAGCAGAGTCAAGGTGAGGGGTTTTTGTTAAGTTGTTGGGTTCTTCCCTCAGATTTGGTATAGGTTTGGGGGTTTTTTGCAACTATTTCTGCTATCTGTCTGCATTTTAGAACCAGCAGTCTAATTCCCATAGGCCAGATAAATGCAAGCAAATGCACTTATCCCAACACGTGGGGGTCAGGAAGAAGGAACTTGCTTTGATTTAGAAGGAAAGATATGGCAAGCTGCCAAGTCACATGGAGATAGTGCTCCACTAGACAGGTACACAGAGCCCACACTCAGAGAAAGAGCTAGAAGGGCCTGGCATCCGTGTGCCCTTTGCTGGCACTCCTCGGTACCCACACACACTTGAGCAGTGGAGGACAGCAAAGTCACAGGCAGAGCACGAACAAAAGGCAGTACATAGAAAATGCTGTGTTCGACTGCTGTCAGCAGCACAGCGATGACAGACAACCAAGGGAAAAGGCTGCCCGTTGTGGACGTCTTCATCCTGTGAAGATAATATCGCTAACCCTCTTTTTTAAGAGCTGTTCTACGTTTACAAAAAATAAAGCTGCTAGACTTACGACCATTAATATTTTACACTAAGTTTTAATTCTTCAAGTTATTATTATCCTAAGAATCAAGTATCACTGCAAGAACAAGGGCAACTCAGTCAAACTCTCCTTCTTCTCTATAAAAAAAATTACAAGACTTCTAGAAAGGAGAGCTCCGGAGCGTGGCACAGGTTTCCTGTCTATCTCCGCAGAGACCCGCCGTGCCCTGTGCGGCCCTGCCCCGCGGCGCTGCTCCCGTCACCGCGGCGGGGAGGAACCCTGAGCTGGAGATTCTGCGCAGCCAAAAGCAGCCCCTGCAAACCTCCCGCCACGTCCCGGCCGCAGCCCCCGCGCCTGCCGGGGGAGTCGCCTCTGCCCCACGGACTGCGTGACCTTGCGGCGCCGGCACCCCCCGCCTCCACCGTCCCCCCATCTCCCCGCGACCCAGCGCTGCCCGCGGGCACGGCAGGGACCGGGCACACCCGTGCGCGGCGGCGGGGGCCCCGGCAGCGACCCAGCCGCGGGGAGGAGTAGGGGCGCCGCCAGGCCCTGCGGGCTGTCCCCGCGGCGCCGGGCACGCGGGGCGGAGCAGCCCGGGAGCGGGGCCGCAGCAGCGGTGGGAGATGGCGGCGGCCCCGGCACTCACCATGATGCTCCCGCGCCGCCCGCACCGAGTGACCGCGCCGCCGCCAGCACACACGTGAGGAAGGTCACGGCGTGCGCATGCGCGGCCGGTACCCCGCCCCAGGGCGGAGCAGAGCCGCCCCCCTCCCCCGGTCCCGGGGACGTTTAGCGCCGCCGTTTTTTTTCAACCGCTGCGGCCCCATCCCATCCCGGGAACGGCTACGCCCTGCCGGTACCGCGGACCCGCCTCACAGCTCCCGCGGTGCCCCAGGCCGGGCCCTGCACGGAAGTGAGGTCAGCTCACCTCTGACCCGCGGCGAGCATGAGCGTTCCAGAAGGTTCTGGAATCGGCGGGCCCCGAAACATGAATGGTTCATGCTTACAAGCCCTTAGCGCATGCGCAGTTGCAGCCCGCGGCCCAGCGCTGCAGGCGGGCTGTGGGCGGGCGCGGGGGCCATGCTGGTTCCGGGGCCGGGCGGCGGAGCCGCACATGGGCCGGCGGCGGCGGGGGGCGGGGCCGAGGCGGTGAGTGCCGAGCGCCGCCCGCCGCCGCCGCGCCAGACGTGCCCCGCGAGTCCGCAGAGCCGCGGTGCTGCTCCCGCGCTGCCGCAGGTGAGCGGGAACGCGGCCGGGGCGCCGGGCCCGCGCCGCTCTCCCTGGCCTGGGGAGGGTATAAGGGCCCTGCCCCTTTGCCCGCGGGGGCCGCGCTGGGAGCGGCTGGGCCCGAGCGGCGGGAGCGGGGGGCGGCCGCGATGCAGGCGTTGCGCCCGGGTGGCGGGAGCGGGGCCCGCACCTTCCCGCGGGCCGCTGGTGGCGCGACGGGCCTGGCGGGCGGGGCTGTCACCATGGGGCCAAAGGTAATGGAAGGCTTTTATGTTAGCACAGACCCGGCTGAAAACACTGTAACAGAGAACAGTTGTTGGGTTTCTCTCGGTGAAGCTGCACGGTTGTGTTTGCAGAACTGACTTTTATGTTAGCACAGACCCGGCTGCAAACACTGTAACAGAGAACAGTTGGGTTTCTCTCGGTGAAGCTGCACGGTTGTGTTTGCAGAACTGCAGAGCACAGGGGTAGGGGAGTGGACAGGCTCCTGCAAACAGCTGTAGTCTCACGGTCACCAAAAGTGGGACAGCAGTGCATGTGCTTTTCAAAGTAACAAAATTGCTTGGATTCCTGTGAAAGGTACATTATATTCATCTAAACAGTTTGAAGGTTAAGGAGATGTGCATAATGTGTTACCAGCTCAGTTGATAACCTGTAACAATGCGGTAGATAATGTAACTGTCCATGTCATGGGGTGGGTTAATTAGCATGTGGGTGGCTTGGTTGGAGTTTTTCATGAGTTTTTGTTTGTTTTTTTATTTTTTTTTTTTTTTTTTTTTACTAATTACAATTTTATATTAGTTTACCTTTTAAATATTAACAAGCTTTAAAAAAATCCCAAGTGTAATACTGAGTTTTCAATTGGCTGGTGACTATTACCAGCCTAGGTGAAATGTTGTGGTAGAGGCGTTCATTTGTGTTGTCCTGTGTTCTGTTGTGTAAGGGACATCTGGGTCTCTTGGAAAACCAGCTATGGTGTTCTGCATAGTCATGCAGTGTGCAGTAGGGCTTGAAATGAGATTCCTCTTTTTGAGGAAGAGACACTGATTTTCTTGGGGCTTGTGTGAATATGTGTTCCCTGTAACAGCATGTGCATGATAGTTCTTCTGAAGGCCGCTTGGCCTCTGTAACATGATTTCTTGTATTCTCTGCACATTTTTAGTGCTCTACCAGCTTCATTCAAAGACAAAAATACCATAAAGGTGAGCAGCAGATGAAGGTTAAGGAACAATTGTGTCAGGAAGCTGTGGCTACTTCCATAAAGGAACAAAGTTTAAGTGTAGTTGGTTAATTTAACTCTTGTTTTTTTTGAATCAGGCTATCTTGTGAATGCCGAAGCACAGTCCTAATCCACTGGCTAAAGGGCACTTGCTGATGCAACTTCGTGTAACCTTAGGGAATTTTTGTTTGTCATGCTGTTCTTCGTGTAAAAATGGAGGGGTTGTGCTGCAGTGCCTGAGTCTGCTTCTGGCATTTTTAAGAAACCTCACTCTGGTGAGGAAACCTCTTTTGGCACTGTTGTACACTTTAAGGAGCCCAGTTTGCAGTCTCACACAATCTTTTGGTACTGCTCCAGCATGTTGAACAGCACTGGTTTGTGTGGGAGTTCAGCTTCTCAATATGCCGGACCATTCTAAATGCCTGTGCAGTTACTGGTGTTGTTTGTTCCCTTCTTCAGGAATGCAGGCAGGTGTTTTTGCTGAGAGCAAGCCCCTTCATGTGATTTCTCTGGAGGTTTTGTTGTGCTTCTCTTCTCCAAGCTGCAAAGCAAACATTAGGAATAGGACCATATCAAAATACAGAACAGAATTAAGCAAACTAGGAGACATGAAAAATGTACTGGTAGCATGCTCCTCCAGAGAGGAGTTCTCTTATTCTTGAATCATTTTTATATTTAGAGGTGCAGGTCAAATAAGATCGTAGTCGGGAATCCCTTTTGGCGTAACTGTTCCATGGCACAGAGTAAATTTCCATAAGCTGTTCTCCAGGTTCAGCCCGAGTAACTGAAGCAGAACCTCTCCTTGCTTCAGGAGCAGCGAGGCCTCGTGCCTGGCAGGCAGCCAGAGCTGTTCAGTCACTGAGGCAGATGTGTGGGCTCTGAGCAGGGGAGCCGCAGGGGCACTGCGCGGGAATCCTTGCCCCGCTGGCCTGGCACGTGATCCCCAGCCTGCGCTGGGAGAGCTCCCAGCAGGACCGAGCAGGGCACTTGTGCAGGCCGGCTGGGAGGGACAGTGCTGAGGTGGGGCACTTGCTCTCCCTTCCCTCTTCCAGCAGCTCCAGCTGTCAGGATGGTAGAGGAGTTTCAGGGCAGCAGTAAACCAGAGGTGGCTCCTTGAGTTTCTGCTGCCTCCAGCTCACACCGGAACACGATTGTTTGGGGCAGCTGTTGGCTATGGAATTAATCTGTGAACAAGCAGTGGCCTTGTGCAGGTGCATTTGCCGTGTGGTCCCTGTATGGTTCACGGTTTCCCGTGTTGGCTGTGTCTGTTAGATGTAATACTCCAGCTTTATAGTTGGATCCAAGTCTGAGCTAAGATGAGAAAAGCTTGGTAACTTGCAGTGTTTGAGAAATTACTGTAACACATGAACACAAATTTGAAGTGTTCTCAGTTATCTTTGCTAATCACTATTGAGGTTTGCAAGTCTGGTTTTTTTTTCCTTCCAGCACATGCAACAAATTGAGCTTTGTATTACTTGTTTTCTAATCACAATGTTTCTTGTGATCTGATGAGAATTTTGGAAATTTGGTTCATTGAGTTGTTATCTTTTTAATTTGGGGGTAAAATATTAGCATTTAGAGGGACTCTCTCTAGTTTTTTTTCCAAGGTTAGTCTTACTTAATTGCAGACTGTGGTATTAAGCATTATGGCTGAAGAATGGAGTGTCAGTCCGTGCAAGCATAAAGCCTTTGAGCCATTTTTCTAGTTTCGGAGAACCTTGGTATTAAAGTGTGTGTTTGAGAAGTCCCAGCTGAGCGCCCTGTGTAAGGTGTTCAGCTGTGACTGTTCAGAATTTTCAGTGGAGCTCTTGAGAGTAACATGCTTTGGGTTGGCTTGGTTTTAATTTTTTTTTTTTTTTGTCCCCCTAGGGAAGAACAGTTATTATTGAACAAAGCTGGGGAAGTCCCAAAGTGACAAAAGATGGTGTGACAGTAGCAAAGGCAATTGACTTGAAAGACAAATACAAAAACATCGGAGCTAAGTTAGTTCAAGACGTTGCCAACAATACCAACGAAGAAGCAGGAGATGGTACCACTACTGCAACAGTCCTCGCACGAGCCATTGCCAAGGAAGGCTTTGAGAAGATCAGCAAAGGAGCCAATCCAGTAGAAATTAGGAGGGGTAACTTTTTTTCTGTTGTTTTTAATATTTAATAGCTGTCTTTTGTTTTTCATACCCTAAGTTTGACTTGTTTTCTGTTTGAAGAGTTACTATAAAGGGTTACATGATGTTTATAGAGCACAGTTGGAGTTTTTTTATACTGCAGACTGAACAATTAATAATTTGTCTAATCATTGTACTATTTTACATGCTGTCAACTTACTTAATTTGTTGTAAGTGAACTCCAGTTAAAGCCATTTCTGCATTTAATTAATACTGTAGCCATGTAAACAAATGTGTTACAAATTTCAGTCATGACAGTATCTCACACCAGTTTCAAAAAACCCATCACTGCATATACAAATGACAGTATGGAACAAGAGCTATTTGATTTTTAACATGCACACAATGCATTTTTGCACTGTGGCCTCCTCTTTGAAAGGAAAACTGTTCATTGTGGTGGGTGGGTGCTTGGTTTGTGTTTTCTGTGCTCTGCACCTTGCTTTGTTCACTCACAAGTGCCCTGTTCATCTCAGGGGTGATGCTGGCAGTGGATGCCATCACAGCTGAGCTGAAGAAGCTCTCAAAACCTGTTACAACTCCAGAAGAAATTGCACAGGTAAGAAAAAACACACCATAAAATGTAACCCAAATTTACGCATTTGTTTCTCAGAAAAGGTTTTGTGAGGTTAGGTTTCATGAATTTAGGTTGTGTGCATCTTGACACTGGGTACTTTTCTTTATAAAGCAGAAGTATTCTTCAGTTGCACTGCTAGAAGCTAGTTCAGAAGTTGGCAGATTTTTTCATCTTCAAGTTTCCAAAGTGTGGTCTTAAAAGATAAATGTGTGTACTTAGGAAGAATTGATGGGAACAAAGCTCTGTTGTGAATGGAAGTGATGGCAGAGTACTGAGGGTGTGGCAGATGTGCTGTGGGAGATCAGGTTCAGGGGTGTTGGTGGTCCTGGGTTATCTGTGCCTGGAGATGGCCTGGGTGTGAGCCCGGTGCAGGGAATCTGGCTCTGTGCTGCAGCTGCCCAAGGGCCCGAGCCCTTCTGACAGAGTTCCTGCCTCCTGCTGTGAGTGTGCTGCACTCTGCTGCCCTGCCTTGTCAGAAATGGTTGTTGTGATTTTTTTTTTTTTTTTTATCATGAGGAAGCACCTTGCTTTGGAAAATGAGATTAAATGTCTTATTCTTTCAGGTTGCCACAATATCAGCAAATGGAGATCAGGAAATTGGCAATATAATCTCTGATGCAATGAAGAAAGTTGGACGAAAGGGTGTGATCACTGTCAAGGTAAGAACTGGCCAAGGGACTGTCTCTTCTCCTCTTAGGGCTGGCTTTTGTCACATGTGATGCTGCTGCTGCAGCTCACATTCCATAACTCCCACCATAATTCCTCCCCAGCTCTTTTAGATCAGAGTTTGACCACTCTTCCCTTCTTCCTGTTTTGGAGAGAAGCACATGAAACTGATGAGGGATCCAGAGTCTTTCAATCTGTTGTGCATGATATGCTGAAACTGTACTTGTGCTTTTGGTAGCAAACAGGAGATTTTAATGCACACTTTCTTGCATCTGAACAGGATGGAAAAACTCTAAACGATGAACTGGAAATCATTGAGGGTATGAAATTTGACAGAGGCTACATCTCTCCATATTTTATTAACACAACTAAAGGTGAGTTACAATAGGTCACGTCAAACACCTTCCAGTGGCTTGTGTCAGTGAGAAATGATGGCATCTGTTAAAGGCTTTACAGTCCCTTATGCTGTGCACCACAGCAAATAGAGCAGGGGGTCCTTTCCAATCAGAAAACTTGAACTTGGTAAAAGCTTGGGGTGTTGGGGGTTCCTTTTTCTTCCCTGCAAAGTGTTCCTGCGAACATCAGGCTGGCCTTGCAACACAGCAGAACAATGGAGAATTGAGAGTGGAGTCTTGCAGAAAACAAGTTGTCTTTTTTTAATGCAGTTGGAAAGTGCAGCCATTGCTCCAAAGCACCTGCTCAAGTTAAAAGAATGCTTGATATGTTGTTGTAATGGAATTGTTCAGATAATGCATGTTGTTTCTGCAGGGCAGAAATGTGAATTCCAGGATGCTTATGTTTTAATCAGTGAAAAGAAAATCTCTAGTGTACAGTCCATAGTTCCAGCTCTTGAAATTGCCAATGCCAACCGCAAACCTTTGGTCATCATTGCTGAAGATGTTGATGGAGAAGCCCTCAGCACTCTAGTCTTGAACAGGTGAGCCTTAAAATCGTTTTTTTCCTATGGTGTAAGGCTGCTTGTTCTCTTGCCTGTGCCAAAGAAATAGCAGCTTTTAACACCACCATGCTTCATATCAACTCAGGCAGAACTTCAGTTGTGTCCTAACTGCTTTTTTATAAAAAACCACCTCAGTTTGTGATGGTCTCTTTGTTTGCTTGACTGCTAGAGCTGCACTGAAATAATTTGGCATAGTAATTAAACTCATTCTCTGAATTTTTGTCTTTAGACTGAAGGTTGGCCTTCAGGTTGTTGCTGTAAAAGCACCAGGTTTTGGTGACAACAGAAAAAACCAACTTAAGGACATGGCAATTGCTACTGGTGGTGCTGTAAGTAATGATGTTTTAAGTGGCTTTTTGCTCCAAGGAACGTTAATGCTTTTTAAGGAGAAATATACTGTGCATTTTTAGGTCATTGGCTTGTATTTGGTGGGTTGCAGGCTGTGTTCTGTTCTGTCAGAAATGTAACCATAACTGATGTTTGAAACTTCCTGTTTTTTAAAATGATAATTGCTGTGTAATGCAGTCCTGGCCAGCCATATGTCCTTGTAACTGACTGAAGTCACATGAGGTTTCCTTGCAGGATTTAGGTTTTTAAGGGGAAGGAGGAACTCCAAGGCAATTGTTGCCTCTATAAATATTAATTGCCTGGCCTCAGATGTGGCAAATACAATTATTTAAAATTCTTGGAATTGACTGAATGAATTTTCTTGCTACTAAATTTTGCATATAGTTGATGCACTGATTAATGTCCCTTTATGCTGCCCTTTTTTAATATGCACTTCAAAGTCATAGCATGATATTGGGACCCAGAGGAAGCTGTTGAAATAAAACTTCACGTTTAAGGTGATGGCAGCACAAAGTAACCAACTACCAAACTGTTCTTCAGTCAACGACATGTCAATATCTGTAACTTCTCAAAATACTTGGAGATGACCAGTGACAGGATCCAAGGAAATGCTGTGAAGCTGTGTCAGGGCAGGTTTAGGTTGGATATCAGGAAGATGCTTTTCACTCAGAGGGTGGAATTGCAGTAATGTGGTTATTTTGCACCATTAGCCTGCTGTATGTGTTCATGTACTTGTAGATAAAAAAACCTGATGTGTGGGGAACCTGTGAATTCTAGCTTTTCACATAATTTCTTTCAGGTGTTTGGAGAAGAGGGTTTGAATCTAAATGTGGAAGATATTCAGCCTCATGACTTTGGTAAAGTTGGAGAGGTCATTGTGACAAAAGATGACACCATGCTCCTCAAGGGGAAGGGTGAAAAGGCTCAGATTGAAAAACGCATTCAAGAAATAATCGAACAGCTAGAGGTTACCACCAGTGAATATGAAAAAGAGAAACTGAATGAGCGACTGGCCAAGCTCTCTGATGGAGTAGCAGTATTGAAGGTATTAAGAACTTGGTAAAATCATGATGAACTAAAGCTTGGGCTTCTTGAGTGCTGAGGTACAGAAGAAGACTTGCCAGTGTGGGAGAGGGTGGGTTGGGTTTCTGGCGCTTCTTAGGCACTGGCAGCTTAGTTTGGTGGCAGCAGAGCTGTCCCACCCGGGCTCCTCGTGCGGACCCTGACGTGTGGCTTGCTGCTCGCAGGTGGGTGGAACGAGCGATGTTGAGGTGAACGAGAAGAAGGACAGGGTCACCGACGCCCTGAACGCCACCCGTGCGGCCGTGGAGGAAGGCATCGTCCCAGGTGGTGGCTGTGCCCTGCTGCGCTGCATCCCAGCCTTAGATGCCTTAACCCCAGCCAACGAGGATCAGAGAATTGGTAAGCAGATGACTGGAGGGTGTGTGTGGAAGTGATACAAGCAGGCTTTCTCTTGTCCTAAGGCTTTATCAGGTAGCTTTCAGTGAGTTTTTAGTTACTTGATCTTAGGAACATCCCATTTCTTTGGTATGGTGGTCTCTGCTTTTGAGTGGGAAGGAGCTTTTTCGCTGCATCGCTGGTTGGACTGTGTAAGACCCAGTAGCAGTAAAGCAGCAGCAGCATCCCAGCACAGAGTGGTAAATGTCTAGTGTTGGGAGCTGGCTGTTAAAAGTCAGACAGACAAAATTTAATAATGCTCAAGAGACTGTGTGGCAAATCAAATGGAAAAAGACTTTGTGTCATGTTACATATAAATATAGAGAGTAATAATACTTCTATTTTTTTAGAAGTAAAACATGCATGAATATCCTGCAGAGATTTCATTTGTTACCAAGTGTCAAGTAGCAGAGAACCTTTCCTCCTGACAAAAAATAGCTTATGTTCTTGCTTGGAAGACTTTCTCTTTGTATTGATCTCCAGCACTAGGGCATTCCTTGGCAGTGGGAGTGGTGTTTGTACACAGAGCTCCAACTGTTCTGTTTCTTGCAGGCATTGAAATAATCAAGAGAACACTGAGAATCCCAGCAATGACTATTGCAAAGAATGCCGGTGTTGAAGGATCATTGATAGTTGAAAAAATCCTGCAGAGCCCATCAGAAGTCGGCTACGATGCAATGCTTGGGGACTTTGTAAATATGGTAGAAAAAGGAATCATAGACCCAACTAAGGTAACCTAAAGATCTTAATTCTCAGCTTTGCTTCCTCCCACCTCTTGTGGTGGTCAGCAGGTTTTAAGTAGTTTCTTGCTTATTTTTAGGTTGTGAGAACTGCTCTGATGGATGCTGCAGGTGTTGCGTCTCTCCTATCAACAGCAGAGGCAGTGGTGACTGAAGTTCCTAAAGAAGAAAAGGAGCCGGCAATGGGAGGAATGGGTGGGATGGGTGGAGGAATGGGAGGTGGCATGTTCTAATTCCTGGGGTAGGGATGCATCATGAGCTGTGCTGTTAAAGACTGACAGTTCTGACTTCAAAAACTTGAGCTATCAGTGTGAGAGGATGGATAGTGACTGAAGTGAGGCTGGTGTTGAAAAGAATCACTGTAACCATCAGTTACCGGATTTCATTTAACACACGTGTAATTGTTTACAGTCATTGTCCATGCCTACAGATAATTTATTTTGTATTTTTTGAATAAAGACATTTGTACATTCCTGATAACTGGGTGCAAGATCCATCTACCAAGGTCCTGATTTGAACTTAATTAAGGCACTTGATATTCTATTTCAGAATTTCTTGGTGCTTGCCAGTACTAGAAAGAACTTGGAAGCCACTGTGCGTGAGACTAGACAATTGTGTACAAAGTAGGCAAATAGAGTTACGTGAACTTTATGTAATAAACTGCTCAAAAGTTACAAAATGTATCACCTCCTTCATCTGCACACAAAGCCATAGTTATGGGAGAGCCTGGACAGCCTGCTGCTTCTAAGACTTAGTAGAAATTGACACTTATGCTTGAAAACATGACAGGGCATTTCACTCCGAGAAACATTCCTTTGTCTAGAATGTTTCTCAGAAATGCAAGTGCTTTAATTTTGGTAAGAAATATCTAAGCTGAACTGCACTACAGTTCTTTGAAATATTAAACAATGCTCTGAAAACAAGGCACGTGCACTGACTTTATTTTGCCCTGTGTTATCTGGTTGTTTCACGTGCTGGAACAGGCCCTGTGTATCTTTCACAGTCCCAGGGGAAGTGAAGTGCCCCGAGGGTATCAAACAGGTGAGTCTGCTAAGAAGGGGTTCTGGGGTTTTTAGATCCTTCCTTTGCTCAGGTGTAATATGTGATTACCTCCTCACCTTGAGCCTTCCATTCTTACCTTCCTCCTTTCTGGTAAGGGGTGCAGGATTTAGTTATTTTGCACTAGAAATGTTGCTTTGCCTCTTTGTGTTCTTTGACCTGACACCACCACTAACATTGTGCAGTCTTTTCTACTTTCCAGCCTGCAGAACAATGCTGTTCCCAAACTTGTGTATGTTTATATCTGATTACCTCAGCAATCAAAACTGCTTTACAACTTCTCAGTTCTGTACAAATGACCTTAATCCACCTGTTGCTTTCCTCAGCTTCCTGCCCTTAATAAGAACCATCCTTCCTCAGATGGAATGTGTGACATTCTAATTTTAAGTAAAATTATCTGAAACTGTTTCAGGGCTGTCTTTATTTTGAAACATACCTTTCTATGTTATTTAATATGCTGTTCTTTAATAACCATATGGATTACATGTGCTGCCAAGAAAGGACCAGCTTCAGCACCTGGCCTGAAGCTTCACCTAATTTCAGTAAGGAAATCTGGTAATGCAAGGCAGCATAAAGTAAAGATTTAGAATCGGTTCAAACCTATTCCCTTGGTTTCTTCAGAGACTGGGAAGAGAGTATTTCAGGCATAGAAGTACTGAGCATGTATGTAATCAGGATGCTGTTATCACAGTGGGAGTATGGTACTGAAAAACCTCAAAGAATGAAGGTTTAGTGCTCTCTTGTATGATTTATGATGACAGCTGGCCTTGGCTGTGCTTGTCTGCAAGCTTGTTACCTGCTTCCAGGGAGGACAGCATGGGTACCTGGTTCTCAGAGGTAACACTTGCTTCAAAGTGTTCCGTTTGCATTAGGTGAGATGGGGATAACCGAAGTGCAGAGTGTACCAGGGAAGGAGTGGCAAGGAGCAAGTTCAGCCTGCCAAATGTACGGCAAATTCCAGACAGGTCCACTGGGCACCACTGGCTGTAGCTGAGACTGCTGCACTCAGGTTACAGTACTCCTTATGCATTTCATCCCTGAAAACGAGGGGACTGCTGGAGCAGTTGCTGGTCACTAGGAGCAACTGGAGATCCCTGACTTACCTTTGCCATTTCAATGCAAAGCACCACTCCTCAATGGCTGCCAAACGGTGCCATTCTCTGGGAAGCCAGTGTGTTAGTTGGCCTCTGCTTGGGCAGAGCTGGCTGAGTTGATGCTCTGAAGTTACATTCCCACAAAGTTGAGTTAATAAGTTACAGTGCTGAAAAACCCCAGGAGCTTGGCTAAGGCAGAGCTTGGGCTGTGATTCCAGGAGCCGTTTGGCGTTAAACGGCAGCTGAGATAGCCCGGGTTACAGGAGCTGCCAGGTGTCTGTTACTGATAAGGCTTTAAGCTGCACTTGATTGCAGCTTTTGAACATTCTATGTCTTTCTGTCTGAGCAGGTGTGTTTGGCACAGGGTAAGATCACACCCAAGCTCAGATAAGAAATAAATGCCCCAAAGGAGGAGCACGGCACTTTGTACAGGTGAAGTGTACAAACGAGTTTATAGCTGAGGTTGTTACAGTTTCCCTTTAGGTCTGATGAACTTCATGCAGCATCAGCTCCCGAGGGATGCTGGTTTCTGGGCCGTGGAGTTTGGATGCTCTTCTTTCAAAGGCAGCAACCATCTGCTTTACAACTTCATCAAAAAATAGTGTGGCAAGTTTTGAGTGTAGAAGTGAACGAAATTCAAAAGAAATCTGTTCAAGAAAATGAAAGATAATTATTTTTCCTATATATACTGTTGTAAAATGCTGTTACAAATAGACAACTTTGTTAAAGAATCTCCAGTGAAGGCTGCACGTTAAGTTGTAGAACAGTTAAAACTGAGAAACAGGTGAACGTGGCTGAGAAGAAAACCTATTTTCCTTGGTCTAAGGACTGTACTTCTGGGCTTTTCCATTAAGATAATCCTCTCATTCAGTTCTCTGAAGTAAACTAAACCTAAACTGTCTTTTCTTTAATAAGTAGTTCATTACAACAGAGGTTTGGGGTAATGAAAAACTACTGACAAACGATAACTGTTATTTTGTGCACAGAATTCGCTTGGTGGACAAAAGTTGTCTGAAGAAAATCCTGTGTGGCAAGACAACAGACTAACAGGTAAGCTGGAGCACACGCAGGAAACTTAAAAGCAGTTAGAAATAGTTACCTATTAAATGCCAATATTTTAAATCAGTCTTTCCTTGTTGGTGGCAGTAGTCATGGTAGGTTCAAACAAGCAGTGTAATGACTAAAATGACAGATTTGGTTTGTGTGTCACATCTCCCACCTCAACAGCTCCCACTCCCAACCTGACACCAGCAGTCAATGAAATGGATTGGGAGTTAAGTAATTTTTGTTATTCCTGAAAAATCAGATTTAGTGCCACAAGGAGCAAATACACCTTCTCCACAATTCCTTATGAGCAATGCATGTTAACTGCAAAGCAGTAGCACAGAAGTAACTAAACAGCTTGGCCCATAAGCCAAGTGTAGCTTCATTTACATTTGCTTGACCTCAAGCATCAATAAAATTAATGTGCCTCTTGCAAGTCTGAGAGCTGTCATTTAGGGCATGCAGAGTTCTGCACAGTGAGCATGTTGAGTCTGGCATTGTGTTCAGCAGTTATGTCAGTCTTAAGGTATGGTATACATTGATGAAGTTTGCAGCTGGTAAAAATGGTGGTGTGCTTCAGTCTATGAACCAAATCATTTCAGAGCTGAAACCAAAGTAGGAAAGTTCCCTGCTGTATGTGGACGTCTCCTGGAATCAGGCTGGCACAACAGGAGACATCTGCTTGTGGGAACCAGCTTAGCCTGAAATTCAAACAACATTTTCTAAAGCAAACAAACATTCTTGAAGTTGTCTCTGGAATATTTGTAATTGCAGGGCCTGTTTTGAGGAGTTTGTTGTGAAATGCTTATCATCCCTGCCTGCACGTGCCCAGAGGCAAGGAGCAGCAGGGCAGTAACTGGCAGAGTTATTTAACCTCAGCCAACTGCACTGGCTTCCTTTGCTGCCTCAAAACAGGGTAAGCAGTAAGATGTGTTGATAGTGTTCCCCCAAGAAAATGAAAATGTCCATATCCAGTTCAGTTTTGATTCCATTTAACTGAAGTTCTTGACCTGAAATGTCAAAATGTTGGTTTGTGGAGGTGTGGTGCTGTTTTCTCACAGAGCCTGTACTTAGATTGTAGGCTTTAAATAGTTGTTTAATTCAAGTTTTTTAATTGATTTATGGCTTGGGTTAAAAGATAGCTTATATATGTTAGTAGAAAATCTGACGCTTATTTGCCTAAAGAAGTACAAATAACATGAGCGCATAACATGCAAACCATTAAAAAGTGTGGTTCTTTGAGCACCTGTAGATTAATTTTTACTGTTGAACTATATCAAGTGCAGTAATAAACTGAAAGCTAAAAACCCAAGGAGGTTAATGTGCTAGTTTAAAAATACTCCAAAAGCTTTTTCCTATTCACTGAAGATAATTTTCAAAGCAGGGTATTCCAGCAGATGGCAGCAGGATTAGCCCAGCTCTGTGTACTTTTGCAGCCTGTTACAACCCCCAGCTCAATGCTTTATTATACACTTTGGTATAAAATGCAAAAAGAAATGTGATGGCAGACAAACCAGACAACATGGAGAAGCAGTAAGTTGAATGGAAACAGCTTTTCTGGGAGTGAAATCAGGCTAAATCAGGTACTGGATTTAAAGAGCAATACTTTTGGGCTGCAGTGATATCCCATCATAGATTAAAGACAGCAAAAAACTATTACACTTGTATTAGAGAAGGAAGGAGTAAGATTTAAAATACAGGAAAGAGTAAAACTGGTAGACAGGAAATGAAACTGCCCAAACTGCAGCCCAAACAGGACAGATGGCAGAACACTGACTTTCTGGTACCAAGGACATTTAGGTTGTAGAGTGATTAAAGAAAATAGCAAAGTATATTTAGCATTTCTCCTGCACTGGACTGTCTAAAAACTTCAATGTGTTTAGAACTGTAGGGTGATAGGTGCCTGTCCTAGACTGCTTCATGATACATGGACACCTCACAGAAGGCTGCTGTTTCTGAAGGATGCTGAAGTGGTTTCCAGCAGTAAAGTTTTGCAAAGTATTTTTTGGACAGAATTTACTAAAGCTAACTTGTTTTCTGTGTCTAAGTGTTTAAAGAAGTAGCACAGGCATTTTAAAAAGCCCCCTCAGTTGAAGATAAGTGTTTCTATGTGCTGCTCCTAGCATGTGGTAGTTTTAATTACCATACTTACTGAAAAATCCAATGTACATGTCCTTGGATAACCAGGGATACCAGGGCTCAAACGCCACACTGTTTCCAAGTGATTAAAGAGTTTTCCATCTGTGCATGATGCCTAAAATAAAGTTTTGAAAATCAAGCTACAATTAGGCTTTTACAAATGCGACAAACAGGTATTACTGAAGCTTGTGTTTGCATTTTGTTAAATAGTGATGGTTGTGGCATAGTTAAACCTGTTCTTACAGCACAGCCAGCATGAGATCCTATATGCAAAGATGTCAATTATGGCAAAATAACTGAGGGCCTTCCAAGGCAGAGGAAAATACTGTGGGTTGAGTGTCATAAAACAGATCTGTGGCATGATGCATAAAACATCCAAATACATAACCTCAGCTGGCTTGGAATTTGTAGAGAAAATTTCTGTAACTTTTTTTGGGCCATTTTTTTACAAGTTCTTATTGTTACCCCAAGGAGCTCTGCTCCAGCACTGTCCCCAGGGAATAGGTGTTGCTTGGCTTGGAGAGCTGTGGTGAGGTGACTCATCCCAAAGACTAATCACCAGCACAAAAACACCTTCATTTCTCTTTCCAGGAATGAGATAATGCATGGCCTTGCTACTTCTATATCAGAAAGAGAAGGAGTAGAGGGAAGATTAGATACAAAGAGCTGGGCCTGCTTTTCCCTGCTGCTATCAAAACAGCAGGAAAAATGGGAAAACTGCCACTGTGTTCCCCTTTCTCCCAGTCTTAAAGTAGCAAACTCACTCCATGCTTTCCCCCTCAGCAAAAGCTGCTGTTACCAATCTGGTTTTTCCATTGCTTAAGACCTAAAAAGCAACAAACCCATTCCCATTTTGTGCCTGAGCAGCACACAAGGTTCCTTTGCCTGGAGTTACTTGGGAGCACAGTGAAATGGTCCAAGCACACAATCACTTCCCTAGAAATGTTCCTGCAGTTCTGTGGACATAATGTAAACCTCTAGGAAAAGTAATAGCAGCAGAGAAAAGGCTAATGAGTCTCAGGGGAGGCAATCTGAAGAAATGGCTTTCCTCACCACTTTTGTGAGTCTTTTTTCTAAGAATTCTTCTTTTGAGTGAATTAAGAGGGGAAAAAGAGTTGGTAAGCCAATCTGATAGCTGTGTGAAAGAAAAAAGCCTGTCTTCTCAGGAAACTGTAGGAAAGGAAAGCTCTCAGCATGTAAGTCACAGATTTTCCATTATAGCTGCTCAACTTTTTTTAATAAAAAGAGAATTTTCTTTTTCTTTTCAGAATCAGTAAGGATATTGAATAAAGGCACTTTGCATATTCCTTTTCCAATTTACATGTGCCCTGTACTTCAGAAACTAATTTTCTGTTAAGTGTCTCTTACTAGGAAGTCTAGAAAAGAATAGTGAAACAGGATTTTCAAACAATTATCTTCAAAAGCAATCAAATTGTATCATTTCCACTAATTATTCCAAACCAATCAGGATCTGCCAAGGGAGAGGCAGTTTTGCTATAAGGAATCTGTTCTGAGCCATTCTTTACCAAAACAGATTTGAACATGTAAGGCAAACAAATAGAAGATCCAGGCATCATTTAAAATATTTTCCTTGATGCTTTTCTACTTTTCTCTTAATTATTGCTCATAAAAAGCTGAAAGGAAAAACATAACTGCTTCTCTTCTGAACAAATTAATTGTAAAAAAAAAAAAAGACTTTAAATCCACACTTCTTTCTTCTCTTCAATATATTGAAGAACCATCTCTTCAGCACATTGTACTGAAGCTTAGCCCTTTTTTTAGGTTTTTCATATTAACTAGCTAAAATTGTGAGAAGAAAAGTAATGACAGATAGCAAGCTCACTAAGGCATCAGAAGATAGAGTTGTCAGATAACTTTTAACTGAGTACTTACTTTGCATTCAGAGAGGCTTGGAAAAAAATTTAAAAAACAAAGGAAAAAACCCCCAAATATGTTAATATCTTCATTTAATGGCTGCCAGCTTTGCCAGTAAAGACAAATTAAAAAGCGATTTCCTCTCCTCCCTCATGTGGCAGGCTGTTTTAAAACACATTCAAATTCTCCCCAGTTCATCTAAAGTCTTTAAAGAAAAGCAACACAAGTTTTGAGCCACACAAAGAACTTCCAGCATTGAATTTGTTTCGAAGCAAGATGTTCCTGGAATATTCAAATTTCATCAAACAAAAGTTAAGGAAAATTATGGTTAGGAGAAAAGAAAAATGTAATTACCTTAACTAAATGTGGTCTCACTAGGGTTACAATTGATGTGTATTTCTCTACTACAGGAGGGAATCCTATTTCTAGCTGTGCTTTGCAGTACCCAGAGCGCCTCGAGAGTATGTCTGACTTTTTACACCAAGGAACAAAGAGTTTGTAATTCTCCACAACAGCAACAACTTCATACATTTCCTGCATGGAATACCTGGAAATGGATACATGAACATTACAGTTACAAGGTACTTAAATTTCAAATTAGTATTAAAAAGTTTCAAAGATGGTATATGTGACACAGGCAATTGAAAGGTGGACACAGTCACTACCACTGACTTTGGAAATTGAAATTGCTAATTAAGAGGAAAGAAAAGCAATACACTGGTAATTTTTTTTGCATAAAGAAGCAAAATATCACACACCATCCAGCAGTAACTTTAGTGAATAATGAACCTAATGCCTGCTACTTTCTGCAATATCAGGTAAACATGCATACTCTTCTAAAGGAAACATTTTTTCCAGCACACCTGTGTCTTCATTTAGGCAGATATTGGACATTGCACCAAAAAAAAAAAAAAAAAATAATGCCTGCTACTTTCTGCAATATCAGGTAAACATGCATACTCTTCTAAAGGAAACATTTTTTGAAGACACCTGTGTCTTCATTTAGGCAGACACTGGACATTGCATCAAAAAAAAAAAAAAAAATATTCCACACTTTGTGGCTCCCAAGACAAGGTGTACCAAAACTCAAGTACTACTATATTTCATAAGGTTTAAACAGAGGAGCACCACCTTCCTTAAAAAAGCTTAATTAAAAAACCAGATGCAATGGAAAAACCTTCCAGCATCACAAAATGGCTGATGTTGGAAGGGACCTCTGGACCTCATTTTGTCCACCACCCCTGCTCAGGCAGGATATTGAAATCAGATGAAACACTATTAAGGTAACATTTTAGCTGATTCTGCTGCAACGTGGCAAAGTATTACATGGCCATGGTTTTTAATTTTTCATTCTGACTCTGAAACAGATGGGATTAAGCATGTGCTTAATTTCCTTTAAAATGAAGCATATGTTCAACAGTACTTAGCAGAGGACTATTGGACAAAGGCCCTCTTTAAGTGGCTAGGCAAGATCTGTTGCAGTTCAAGAACTATCACAAAAAGGAATGCTAAGTATAGTCAAAAAAATATGCTAATAAACAGTTCATACTGTTGCAGACCAGAGACTGGGGGCAGATCCCAGTATCATTGAATGAAATGGGGTTTTTCCCACTAGCTCGAAGGCAAACTAGGTTTCAAAATCTTTTTCTGTGTGAAGTTTCTTCATCATATAATTATTTTTCTTCTTTTAAAGAATTAAGAAAATCTTGAGAAGTGTAATATAATGTGAGTGCAAACATTAGCATGTGTTTGGGAGAGAATGGAACAGGATTTTCACACCTGTTGATTTATTCACATTTTGCTAGATGAAATCTTAGTGTATTACTCCATTTCAAGGTTGGTTTTGTTTTGTCATGGAATGGAACAGTTATTTCTGTTGTTTCTTGCTATGGGCCAAGGGCTTTGGGTTCCTACTTTTTTATATTTCATTTCAGACTGGTAAGCCTAATCTCTCAAATTCTGAAAGTCAAAACTCCTTTCTAGCTTCCCAGAGTCTTAGGGACATGTGTCTTCAGGGGTACTTAGTCTTTTGAACTACTAGTTTTGGATTAATTACAGCAAATACAAAATCAATAAGCATTTAAAGTATCTTTCCACAGTTTTATACCAACCCTATAATTCTTCTCTCAGAATATTCTTTTCTTTTATTTATTAGTGGTGTGGCAACATTGAAGAAATTTCTTGAAATAGTATGGCTCATTACAGGTGCTTGCAAAGGAGAAGTTCTGGTCATCAGAACACCACAAGAAGCCAAGTGCCTGAAACAGGGAAAATGCTTTTAGATGTATTTCCTATCACCAAAATAATTAACAATGCATTCAGGTAAGACAAACCATCTCTTGTATAACATTACAGAAAATGTCAGCCAGATGGAAAAACAAAGGCTTGTAACAATATAAACTGTCAGAAACACAAGGGGCACCTTTTTTTTTTTTTTCCCCTAAGAGAAACTAAACTAAAAATAGCCCCCAGTCATGACAGGAGTAACTGGCAGAGTGAAATACAAAGGGCCTCATTAACTGCTGGCTGCATGGCAGCTTGAGTTCAGCTCAAGTCTCACATGCATTTAGTGTGCAGAACAGGCTTTATATAGCACAAACCAGACATACTTTGCAATACTTTACCCTTTTGGAATACACAAAGTAGAGAAGGTTTCACTTGGAAACAGAAAGCTGAACTCTGCTATAATCCCTCTGCTGCCACCCTTTTCTTGAAAGAACAATTTAATTCTGGAAATCCTTTCAGAAGGTGCTTTGTTTATCCAGCTTTCAACATTTCCTTCAGAAAATATCACCAGAACCTTGGATGCAGTGTTTCCTTTTAAGTAAAGGTAAAAATTACCTTTAAAAGTACTAGTAACTCTAAGACTGCACCTCAGTGTTCTCAGTGAACATCTGCACTAAAATCTAACAAGTATTCACTGTGTTCAACAGTTTTGCTAAATCACTGATTTTGCTCAGATCAGGTCAGTCAAGATGCAAAATGCTGCTGAGAAGCTCTGAATTTTGGCACAGGAAAGTAACAATGCCGCTATTTGCCCACAGTGACTCTACAAACATAAGCTAACGAGTAACCAAGGTCTCTGACTGATCTTCCTCTGACTGTATAATCAGGACTATACTTCTGGATTCATGTGGTTAAAAATGGAGCCAACCTCTTTTACTCAGAACTAGGCTTCTTTGGGGTTTGGTTGGTTGTTTTGCTGTTTTTTTAGACACAATGAGCAAGTAGATGCCCTTTTTCTTTTCTTTCTTCTTTTTTCTTTTTTTACCAAGCACCAAATTAGTCAGCAAATTAGTTACCAATTTTGAATTAAATTTAATTAAAATTAGCAATATGTTCTTTAAAAATCAGCATAGTTTAGAATTCTGATGAAATACAGTAGTTACCCATGACTGAGCACATCAGCTTATATGGTCACTGTAGTAGGAGTCAGGTAAATAACAAACTCGTAGAGTCTAGAGGAACATAATCATCATTAGCAGCTGGCTAGAAACAATCTGTACAGACTTTTAAAAAACCAACTATGCAACTGGGATATGAAGCATGGTGCCTGAAAACACATTGTAATCACTGCAGTTGAAAAGAAACTAAAATGGGACAGAAGTATTGTGTCAAAATTAAGAAAGGATAGGTCCACTTTAAAAGCCTTTAGACAACTCTGCAAATGGTTGTAACAGTATCTCAAGGGATGTGGACAAAGTATGTTTTTTTCCAGACAGACCATACAAGACTGTTAAGGAAAGGCTCTGACAGGAATGCTGGAAGAGTGCCAGTAACATTGTAGCTGCCTCAACCAGATTCACAGAAGGTGTTCAAATGTTTGGAGCAGACCTCAATCTGCACAGCTGATCTAAATTCCATTATCTGGGGCCATGTGCAGGACACAGTCCAAACCAGTCACCAGGGTTGGTCTCTTGGTTTGTTTTTTACTGTAATGGTGTGCCAGTCTATTGTTTCATGCAGTTTTATCTAAACTTGTTTCAGCCACAGGGCTGGAAAACAATCCCTACAAATAATCTCTCAGCTGCTGAAAGACTGTGTCCTTGCCATTGAAGGAAGGCAAGGTTAAGTATGGTGAGACTCCATCCCTCTCCCAGTTTTATCTGCAGAACAGATGCTGTGAGAATGTGCTGGGCTGGGTCCCAGGTCAGGAAAGCAGATCTCTTTAAGAAATCCCTTGGTTTCCATGGACTGTCATGCATTTTTGTGAAGCTGACCTGGGCCACTGAAGGAAAACCAAGTCCATTCTAGAATTCAGACACACCTGCCACCTCTGTTTTTATCTCCTGCCAGTGACAGAACCATCTTCACTCACTCCTGCCACTCACTGCTTCCTCCCTGAGCACTTGAGGACTGATCACGGCACCACCCAACTCCCATGACCTGAAAAGGAAGCATTTCTGGAATATGACATGCACGTGTAAGTGATCCATATTCTGTGATTTTTAATTTTTTTTTTAAATAACTACACAATTTTTTAAGCCTGAAGGTTAACCTTTTGAAAAAATGGCTCTCATAACTCCTCAGTGTAAACATGGAAATCAGTGCCAGCAGCATGCCAGGGCAAATGTGTTTAATGTACCCCAGCTGATACTTTCATCAGTTAGTGATATCTGACTTTATGGTCTGTGAGACACAAGTTGATCCCATTCAAATTCTTTGCCAACAGCTGTTTGTATCCCAAAAAAAGAGTCCATCAGCAAGTGTTCTCATTAGCATCTCAGTCTGAATAAGCACATGAGACTAATTTACCACCTGAGCCCTTGAAGCCTGCTAGTGAGCACAGTGAGGTCCTGCCGAGCGGGCAGCAGGTACAGAGTGCATTCCAGGGACAACTGCAGGAATGAAGTGTCCCCAGCTCCAAGGCTTCAGGTAGCACAGCACTGGGTTTGATCCAGCTTGTGCTTGCTTAAAACCAGCTGCCAAGATCCATGCAGCTTCCACCAGAAACATTTTTAAACTGAGTTTGCAAGCAGTTACTTAATGGGTTTCCTTATACCAAACACCCTTCCAGCAACTGATTTTGCCCTGGAGACTCTAATAAATTACTTTTAAAACAGCAATTTTGTTGACCAGAACTGAATGAATTTAATATTGCAGACACAACACTAAGATTATACCACAAAGAATATACAGTAAAAAATATGGTCCAATGTTACGTTATACCACTGCACAGTCAACCGTTTTGTCAAATGACTGCATGAAATTTGACACCATGAACCAATCTATTTCACTTTTTGATAGTTTTTATGAGGATGACAGAGTTTGATAAAGAAACACAGCAGCACTGCCATAACAGTGGTAACAGGTGAACCTTTTATAATAAGATTTTCAAATCGCACTCTCTCATCTGCTTGCTCTTTTTTCTTTCAGTTGCAAGGTTAACTCTTCACCAAAGCATACTGTTTTTCTCAAGCTGTTGCAGCCAGCCTTACACATGCTCAGGTGAGAAGGAACTTGTTGCATTATCTGAAGCGGAAAACATCCGGGCGCTTCCTCAGTTTTTAAATCCTTTGACGGACTGCTCACAACTCTGCCACTGTCTCGGGCAAAGAGGAGGCGAGTTTCTAACCGGGAAACCGGCCCCTCTCTGTCACGCCCGCGGTATCCGCGCCTCGCCCCGCGTACCTGGCGGCGGCCCCTCCGGCCAGCGCCCTGCCGAGCGCCGCGCCGCTCCGCGCCATCCCGGCCGCGCTGCCGTCGCCGCCCGTGGCCCCGGTGGCGGCGCGGAGC